ATTCTACCCTGCTATTAACCGATGGTTGAGATTAAGATGGCTACATCTACGAGTAATTCATGAGACAATGTTCTCACGTTTTCTCAATAATCAGATTAGTATTAACAACTGAAGTGTCCTAACAAGGGAGGATATTATGCTGTTAAAAATTGCAATATGAGCACTGGTAAAAAATTAGGTTTAAAATTCCCAGAAATTCATACACAGATGTCCTCAAGGACACATGGCACAGCGGATAAAGGCGTTAGTTAGATCCAGTGACAGGATTCAAAGAGTGTGAGCACAATACCAGGTTAAGGTAGTAGAGAATTTGGAGAGGGCAATTAACTGACATCCATTAAACATAGCACGTGAAACTAGAACTGTCTACTCCAGTGAGCGAAATAAAGGGTTCAGTTCAACATTCCAACCACCTAAAAGGCCGGAGCGTACAGCGGCCGAAACGTTGTATCGCGACAAAGATGAGGATAATAGTCCGAATAATGTAAATAATATCTATCTATTTATCTATCTATCTGTCGATATATATACATATATATGAAGAAATATGGTTTAAGGTGTGGTATATTTATGGGATAATGTGGTCAATATCAGAGATAGAGCGTATGTAAATATAAATATAATTATAATAAGTGAACAATGAAGTCAACATCAGAGGGGACAGGCTTGTTCGTTGGCTTGACGATTGCGCCTAGCATGAAACAGCCTATCGCCTCTAAGTGTTGACTTCAATGTTCACTTATATATATATATATATATATATATATATATATATATATAGTCATCGAGCGACAGACTGTGGCTTGACGTCCGATTGCTTCAAGCCGGATCGAAACCCGACTGATTTACTGATTTATCAGATGTGTTCCAATAACTTGGACCCATTTTTTAAAGTGAATTAAGTTTAAGCGTCTAATGATTTTTTCTTTTTCTTTCAGATTTGGCGGACGGCGATATTATTTTTCATAATTGCCATGACTTAAATAACAGGATCCAATAGAGAAATAAATAAAACATTCACCAATAACACTAATTTATTTACTGCTGACTTTGATCCGTTTTATACCTTTATATATAATCCGTCTTAATAAACACCCTTTATATATATATATATATATATATATATATATATATATCGAACATTGAAGTGACAAAGACTGTTTACTTGACGTCCGATTGACGATTGCGTCCAGCCGGGATCGATTCTGAGTGTTGACTTCAATGTTGATTTATATATGATTTATATATATATATATATCGAGCGACAGATGGCTTGACGTCCGATATATGATTTATTATATATATATATATATATATATATATATATATATATATATATATATATATTAAGTGTGTTCCAATAACTTGGACCCATTTTAAAGTGAATTAAGTTTAAGCGTCTAATGATTTTTTCTTTTCTTTCAGATTTGGCGGACATTTGGGCGATATTATTTTTCACACATAATTGCCATGACTTAAATAACAGGATCCAATAGAGAAATAAATAAACATTCACCAATAACACTAATTTATTTACTGCTGACTTTGATCCGTTTTAATGAAACACCTTTATATATAATCCGTCTTAATGAAACACCTTTTATATATATATATATATATATATATATATATATATATATATAACAGTGAACATTGAAGTCAACACTCAAAGCGACAGGTTGTTTCATGCTGGACGCAATCAGGCCTGACGATTGCGTCCAGCATGAAAACAGTCTGTTGATTCTGAGTGTTGACTTCAATGTTCACTTTTATATTTATATTTAAATATGCTCTATCTTCGATACTGAGCACTTTATCCCATAAATATAGCACACCTTAAAAACTATATTTCTTCTTTTTATATATATATATATATATATATATGTGTGTGTGTGTGTGTGTGTGCGTGCATATAAATATATATAGATATGGAGCTAATTGCTGTATGCGTCAATGCGTCACTCTCTACAGCTCATACAGACAGTACACTACTGTAAGTTCTATTACATCACAAGATGGTTGAAAACTTTGCAAATTTTATCAGAATATCTCTAACCTACGGGCTTGTCCATACTGTACTTGGATTAAAATCGGCACTGGCCTTCAGGATGTTGCAGTTTTCTTTACTGTCAGTTCATATATATATATATATATATATATATATATATATATATATATATATATATATATATTCGCACACACATGTTGTGTAACCGTGACACGTTTCCCGCCTGAAAATCCATCCAGGCTAATCATTTACGTTGTTTTTATCTTCGTTTCTGTTTGACTCTTGATTTATGCTTTGAATGCTTATCACGGGGGAAAAGGTTTGGGGTGACGAGAGGTTTGCTGAAGTCTATTAACAGGAAAAAAGAATGATGCGATAATCAGTCAAGCCAATACCAAATTTTATTCTGTCATTGAATCGACAGAATAAAAAGAGAAACCTGAGGATTTTTTTGTTTCCTGCGCAGTGTTTACAGCGGAGGAAAAGGCAGAAATGTTAAACCGAAATTCGTTCAACATTTTCTCTCTATTCATCTCTTTCTCACTATCTATCTATCTATCTATCTATCTATCTATCTATCTATCTATCGTTTATTCATATCTATCTATCTATCTATCTATCGATCGATCGATCTACTTATATATATATATATATATATAGTTTATTCATATCTATCTATCTCATTCTTTTCATATCTATCAATCCCCCAATCCCCCTCTCTCTCTCTCTCTCTCTCTCTATATATATATATATATATATATATATATATATATATCAGTCTTGTCATATCTATCTATCTCATTCTTTCATATCTATCAATTTCTTCTGTCTCTATCTATCTCTCTCTCTCTCTCAAAAAACTATCTCTCTCTCTTATATATATATATATATATATATATATATATATATTTTGTCTAGTCATATGTATCTATCTCATTCTTTTTTCATATGTATCAATATCTTCTTTCTTCTCTCTCTCTCTCTCTCTCTCTCTCTCTTTCTATATATATATATATATATATATATATATATATATATATATATATATTAGTTCAATTATATCTATCTATCTATCTATCTATCTATCTATCTATCTATCTATTGCAGTTTGTTCATAACTCTCTATCTATCCATCCCAGGCTGTTCATATCTATTGAGAAAAGGCAACAAAGTCACTAAGACCAAAAGTGGTGACTGAGTGTGAAAGAATAAAAAAAAGAGAAAATTTATTACGGAGCGAGAACAATAGAAGATTAATCAGGAACACATTAGATAAGGATTGGCATTGCATTTAAATTTTTGAAGATTAAAGTTGTCTGGAAAACATGGAACCAGAAGAGTGTTCCACAAGCGAGAAGTGCGAAAAAAGAAACTGTTAGCATAGAACTTACGGTTACATTTCAATTGTAAATTGATGAGGCCTTGTTCCTAATGGAGTACTGCACTTAATTCATAAAGTTTATGTGTCATACCGAAGAGTTCATCAGAACAATTGCTATGAAAATATTTATAGAAAAGGCCCAGGGAAGCTACATTACGGCTGTGAGAAAGTGACTGAAGCCGAGATGCCAAGTCAGGGATAATAATATTGCTGATTCTTTTGACTTTATCACGAATCTCTAAATACACAATAGGAGCATCGAATCATATGTAGCAACAATATTCAATGTATGGTTGAATGATAGACTTATAAACATGTAACATTGATTCAAGAAAGACGACAAAGTGAGCCTACTTTCATAGCAGCAATGGATTCAATATAATCTGTCCACTTCTATCTAACTATAGACTCTTGAATTTGGTTTTCATCGGAGAAAGTTTTCCCCATCAAAGCATTTTGCAGCGATCTAAAAAAAGTAATTATCGGTAAGTGCAAGACCAGATGAATATGATAGGTGGACGTCGAACAAAGCAATCGGGTTTTAAACTCTATTCCTTTGTTCCGTGTCCTGGGTAAGACGATAAACTACATCCGACAGCAAGGCCTCTGATCAGGAGGTTTTGAGGAGCGTGGAACCACCTCTTAATTGCTGGTGTTCCCAGGTCCACCCTGACCCGAGATGGTAGCACCTGTGGGAAAATTGTTAACCCCGAAACTGGGGTAGAAACACTATGAAAGTGTAAAAATATGTTTTAATATCAGAAATACTTTGTAAAAAATTATCAGCGATAAATTTTTGAAGAAAAAAAAATCTATTGGTAGTAATACATTTTTGAAAAAAATATTGCCCACAATTCGTTTTTGAAAAAAAAAAAATATTACCAGCAATACATTTTTTGAAAAAGATATTACCAGCATTGCTTTTTTTGAAAAAAATTATTATCAGCAATTCATTTTTGAAGGAAAAATTATTGTCAGAAATAGATTTTTGACAAAACAAAATATTACCAGCAATAAAAATGTTGTCGGCCTTAAATAACCCATTGAGGTGTTGATATGCCGTAAAATAAACCAAACCAAACATTCTTTTGTTCCATCAGTTTTAACATTCATGACTAGGACCCGACATGCTACACGCATTGTGGCGAACCACCCACATTTTCTCCGTATTTTATTGGTAAGAAGTAAGTTCTATTGAAGGAGTTTTTCCCGCCAACCACTGCTCTGTGAAACTGACCCTCAAAAGAATGTTTTCCCGATCACTACAATCTTAACCCGTTCAAGTGTAGAGTTAACCGTTATCTTCCTCACATATCCCCATAAGCTGTGTCTCTTACTCTGTAACGCTACCTCGAGTGACTCTACCTCGAGTGACTCCCGGACCTTGTACAGAATGAAAAAAAAAAAAAAAAAAAAAATCTACCATATATGATTAGTAGTTAGGAAGATCTTTTTATCCTTACAATTGGTCTCCAAATTCAGCAATTACTTATGATTCAACCTAATATATACACTTAGTTCTATACATTTAATAGATAGGATTAAAAAAGACAATACGGTATTGTCTTTTTCAAGGAATCGTGATAATCAATAGAAAATAAACCTGTGGGAAGCCATCATCGTCTTCTTCTTAAAGGGTCATGGCATTAAAACAATGTATCTTGTTTCATTTCAGAATTTGAGAAAATAATTAATATTTTCGTATGCTATCAATGAACATTTCAGGATAACCGAATATTGAATCTTCGACGCATTCTACTGACAAATGTTTCTTGCAACTAATGTATCAAATAGAATTATATTGATGCGTCATTTTAGCCTTTGGTCCCGAAAACATCAGTGAACTGCGATTTTCAAATCATCAAGCGTGCGAATATGTCGGAGTTGCAAATCGTAAACGGTAAAGGCTGTATTCACTCAATGCAAAGGAAGTTAAACGTTGTTTGCTTCTGTCGCGTGATCTGAAATGGCGAGGTCAGTTGGGCGAGATGGTATGATGTTGATAGACCCCCAAAAATTTCAATGAACCCAGCGTTAACATCACTGATGACGTATCCCGGCGCATCTTTGCGATGTATATTGAGGCGTGTACATGTGTAGAACGGTTATGGGGCGAAGAGTTGTGTGTGGGTCAGGTGAGATCAGGTTTTCTGGCTTGCGTATTTAGGTTAAGTGCACCTACCAACACGGATATTTTTTCTGACGAAACCAGGTTATTATTTTGTAAAGATGCCAAAGTAGAAGGTCTAAGCCGTCTACATGTTTATAGACATTAACTGAACAAACACGTATATATATATATATATATATATATATATATATATATATATATATATATATATATATAGTAATAATTTCCAAACAAGTTGCATTAAGTGTGAGCAGATGCAGACTTCAATAAATTGACGCACAAACCAAAGATGAGCACAAATAAATTAAAAGAAGATATTTCCCACGCTTAGTTTAGTCTGGCACAAGGCCATAAAAAGAGCTTAGCATATACAATGGCGGAAAACAAATATTCGTGCACATACAAATTTTTAATTTATTGTATTTCCAAGTAAATGAATAAAAATACTTTTCATATAATTAACCGTACACAGATGCATAATAACTAAATATACAAAGAAAACCTCCAAAATTTGAATTAATAGAAATAAATCCCATTTATCCATTTTTATGGGTGAAAAAATTATTCGAACAATACGAAAAAGAATACATAATTTTATTACTTTGTAGAACAGCCATTATTCACTTCTACAGCAACCAACCTCTTCTTGTAGTTCTCAATTAATGATTTGCAAATTTTAGTTCGTATTTTGTTCCATTCTTCTTTGCATATGGTATTCAGCTCCAAGATATTTGTTGGAGCTCTCGATTGGATTTGAATTTCCATACAACGCCACAGATTCTTCATCGGGTTTAAATCTGAAAACTGACTTGGCCATTTCAGGAAGTCATTTCTTCGTAGATTTTGCAATCATTATCTTGTTAGAAGATCCAATCAGGAGGAAGTTCAAGATTTTCAACCGAAATCACTAAATTTGCTTCCAAAATATTTTGGTAGGCTGCAGTATTCATTTTACCATTTATTAATCATATGTTGCCAGTACCTTTTGCAGAAAAACATCCCCAAACAATGATGCTTCCACCATCAAATTTCACTGATGGAACAGTATTCTTTTGTTTGAAGGCATCGCCATCTTTCCTCCATATATGATTTCTAGAATTATGTCGAAATAACTCAATTTTAGTTTCGTCTGTCCATAATTTTCTTTCCCAATACGATTTTTTCTGATGCTTATGTTCATCAACGAATTTCAACCTGGCATCGATGTATCTTTTTAATAGCAGTGGAGTTTTCTGAGGGGAGGGAACATGACTTTAGATTGTTCCTATGAATTTTATTGCTTAATGTCCGTTTAGTGACACAGATTCCTAATGAAAGCAAATCCCAGTGAAACTCTTGACGAGTAACCATTAGATTTTGTTTAAATTGACGCATTATTTTCATCGAAAATCTTGTAGAAATCTTCCGTGAAACACCTGTTCTTCTTTGGTTTTCAACAGTTTTGAGGTTTTTGTGAACTAATGGTAGTAAATGGAATATTCGATTTGGCTGAGATTTTCCTGTAACTTTTACCTTCTTTCCAGAGCTAAACAATCAGTTCTTTTGGGGAATATGTGAATTCTTTACCTCTTGCCATGGTGAAAAACCTCTTGCACGAATATCAATTTCAGAAAGTTGTGTTTGTATGTTTTAGGCTACAAAAACCTACCGATAACATTACTGGAACATTCTAGAATATTCCGCTTGAATATTAAAGCAATTTAAAAGTTTTAAAATATGGAATTTGTATTGTACGAATATTTTTTTAATCCATTAAAATGGATAAATGGGATTTTTCTATTTAATCAAATTTTCTTCTGTTTTCTATGCTTATTTAGTTATTATGCATCTTGTCACAGTGTGCCCAAACACCACTCCCACCGTTTCTTAAACAACCCCGGCTATGCCTGCCGATAGAGAAAGGTCACAGTCCTTGTGCGCTAAAAATAGCAACGACATCCTTCCAAACTGTCAGAAACACACAAAACTCAATTTTCGCCACTAAACAAAAATAAAAGACCTTTAATTTCGAACCGAAATTAATTTAAATACAGTCAACAAACACCGAACACATTTTTGACTGTAATTAATACGGTCCGGAATTAATTATATTCATTTACTTGTTTAGCGTCACCGCTTTCTCTTGTATGAACCGTCATACCTATATCCCCGAGACTTCGCAGCGGTTTTAGCCGGCCTGGGGAGCAGCCTGGCCTTCGGGCTGGGTTGCGACCCATGGCAAAGTCTAGTTTGGACCATATCAGGGCCTGCTAAGACAAGCCAATACCAACTTGGACCAGAACTTGACTAACTAGCGTGAAAAAATCGATAGCTGCATTCGTCAAAAAGTGGGAAAATCACAAAAAATTTAAATCTGCATGGCACTTTACTCCAATTGGCTCATTCGCTTGCTTAAACTCAACGTTGATTCTGATTCCGCAGAACTGGGTTGGGTGTGAAAAAAGTATTTGTTGTTAACATTCTTTTTCATTCGGTTTTTCCAGTTACGAGTCTTTTTTTTAAAACTGATCGTTTTGTGTTCATTTTGTTTAGTTCTTTAATCGTAACAGATTTAATGTTTAGTACAGAGTTTAGAAAAAAATCGCAGTGTGAGATAGGCAAGAAGTAAGGCATGTAGCAACATCAGCACGGCAAAGGGCTCTCCTTTAAAGGCAAGGAAGGGCAAAAATATTTTAAGTCAAGTGATAGCGATTGCTGTATGAGTCGTACGATTTTTGAATCAAGCGCGGGCAACGCCGGGCCATGCTGGTAGTTATACAGTATAATAACTGTATATTAGACCCACAAGTCTATCTATCTGTCTATTTTCTGATTCTGTTCATATTGATCAATTTATCGACCGATGACCGTTCATTTCGTCTGAAATCTATTTGAATTACTTGCAGCCTATTTAGGTTAAAGTGGCGAGGATGAGGGGGATGGATAAATTAGAAACACTTTCAATGCTTTTGAAATGCAGGAGGAATGTCAAATCAGAAAAGTAAACTTATATCGATTCTGAAAGAGAGACTTCCCAACAGCAGGAAAACATGTTTATGAATGGCTCACATCAAAAAGGTAACACGATGCTCAAGGCAAATTGAATCTCTTTACATCGTTCTATTGAATATATCTGGGTCGTTTCAGATCATTCAGATCATGGAATGAGAAAAAATCCAGGAAGACTTCAAACAAAAGAAATTTTTTCATTATAAGGCAACTTGGTCGGATATTCCACAAGGGAAGATATACGGAGAAAGAAATATTGAAAAGATTAAAATCTTTTGGAATTTACCAATTTTAATTGGTTCCATAAAATATTTTAGAAGTTTTTAACAATAAATCTTTTCATCCATTTATCAATCAGTCGGTCGGTCAGTCAGTCTATCTATCGATCTATCTAGAGGATAGATAGATAGATAGATTTTTTTTCATATTCATATCTATCTATCTATCTATCTATCTATCTATCTATCGCAGTCTGTTAATATTATTTCTGTTTGTCTTTCTATCTATCTATCTATCTATCTATCTATCTATCTATCTATCTATCTATCTCAATCTGTTCATATCTATCTATCTATCTATCTATCTATCTATCTATCTATCTATCTATCTGAGACGGAATCTACGTATCCCAGTTGGATGATTAAAATTTTTATTCTGTTGCCAACATTACGTTCAATGGCACACTTGCATACAAGGTTGCCATTGTAACGATTTTTTTTCTTTTTATAATCAATTCATCCTAAGCATTGCAATAATGCCACTAAAACGCAAGAAGCTACTGGAAGTGAAAGAATGGGAAGACTTTAGAAAGAACAGAAACTTTATCCGAAACAGGAAACAAAGGATAAACCTCTACCCAAGTTCAAAATACCGAGGAGGAGTGTGAACAGGACGACAAGCGAAACTATCTACTCCTACTAAGGAAAACATTACAGTAAATAAAATCTCAGAGTTTAGGCAGTAACGTTAAAAGTACGGAATTGACTTTAGAAGAAACTAGGGAAAGACTCTCCTCTTGTTCAAAAGAACGGCAAGGTGCGTGAACCTATCTATTCCTATTAAATTCCGTAATGATTGAGTGAAACCTTAGCAAAAGAATGACATTTTAAAAGATTCTACTGGTTTTACATATTCTATTCGACATAGATTTGTTCATATCAGTCATTTTATGATATATATATATATATATATATATATATATATATATATATATATATATATATATATATATATATGTTTTTGAATTTCCAATATTTGTTGAGGAAGACATGGTCCGGGAATCACTTGATGCGGGAAAACTGGCAGTCACCATCCACCATTGTTTCTGTTTCAGCATTATCTATCTATCTCAATCTCTTCATATCTATCTATCTATCTATCTATCTATCTATCTATCTATCTATCTATCTATCTATCTTAATCTCTTCATATCTATCTATCTATCTCAATCTCTTCATATCTATCTATCTATCTATCTATCTATCTATCTCAATCTTTTCATATGTATCAATCTATCTATCTATCTCAATTTTTCATACATATGTTTCTATCTATGTTAGTTTTTTTCATATTCATATCTATCTATCTATCTATCTATCTATCTATCTATCTATGACAATCTCTTCATGTTTCCGTTTTTTAATATATATGTTTCTATCTATGTCAGTTTTTTCATATCTATCTATCTATCTATCTATCTATCTATCTATCTATCTCTGCATGTTTCTTATCATAAGGTGTGAAATGTTTTCGTCAGTTCGTTTTTTCTTGCAGAAAGTTTATTCCCATTTTAATATTTTATCCTCTTTGGTAGATAAGAAGGATGCAACAAATAATTGTCCTCCCCTGAATTGTGAGTCATGAAACTAAACACCTTTTTAAATGCTTGGAATTCTTTTTAATGTCAACCCGAATGTGTGATTCCTTGAATTTGATGCACATCCTGAACTTCTGACCTAAGAGCAGTTAATCTGTGGTCACCCTTTATATGTAACGAGTTCATCCTGAAAGATAGCAAAGTAAGCCTTCTACTCGGTATCAATTTAGAACGACAAAAGAGCTATAAGCCACTAGTGTTGACACAGAAGGCAACTTCATAGCCACCAAATACAGAGTCGGGCCTTAAAGGATGTTAGTAGGCACACCGACATGAACAGCAAGTGGACGCAGCTAAAATTAGGATATATACACTTACACACACAAGACAGCCAAATGGAAGTGTTATGTGAATATCCAACAAACGAGAGGAAAGAGACGGACCCTTACATCAACACAAGAAGAAGATCGAATGTTTGATGCAAGTCCCTGAAATCATATACCCTCGACTTCTGGTGTTAATTTTGTAGAGTCTGGAAGTGAATAAGCAATTATTTATTCTATAAAACATTTACTGTCATATTCTTACCGGACGATACTAACTACTAACATAGCATCACGGAATCATAAAGTATATATATATATATATATATATATATATATATATATATATATATATATATATATATATGTGTGTGTGTGTGTGTGTGTGTGTGTGTGTGTGTGTGTGTGTGTGTATGTGTGACATCGGAAACCAAAATGTCTGAAGCGAAAGGTAATCTTTGGGACTTGGTTCAACTGTTATGTTCTTATGAAGAGATGAAAAAGCAAAGTAAATTAAGACCACCGGATGTAACATACCCTCGACGAAGGCCCAAGATACTTTCTCTGAAGTCATTATCTACTCCTTGCTTCGTTTGTGGGATAATTTATTATGCCAGATGAGACGAGATATCGTCCAGTATTCGAAATAGATATCGCGAAATAAAGACGGTTTTAAAGACGTATTCAAAAGACCTCAACCCAGCCTAAAAAAAAAAGTTTCCAGCTGATAAGGTTGGAAATTGTTGGCAGAATCGAAAAGGCACTAAAATCTATTTTGTTCTTTTATTAATGCTTTTGTTTTGCTATTTTTTTTTTTACAATTATTTCACTTCAAGCAAGGCAATAAAGCCACTATGACGCCAGGGGATTCAAAGGAAAATAAAAGAACACGGTTGACATTGCATTTGAAACTTTTGATGATCAAAGTTGGTCGGTAAGCCGGAAGCAAGTTCCACAGGCGTGAAGTGCGAGAGAAGAAACTTTTGGTATATTTTTGTATCAGTTTTGCAATCTCTCTGTATCATTGATTGCTTATTTTAGAGAATATACCGATTGATGTGTTTTTTATGGTTTATCAACCCTTTGTAGGTTATTTAAAATCGAAACATACTTGTGATTGTAAGAATAATTATTTTACCGCAATTAATACATTTTGGGAAATAACAATTTATTTTTTCCAGATACAAGTCCCACTATTTAACCCATAGTTATGGAACGAGATGGATTCATATCTATACTAAGGGTGTTTGAGCGTAAGTGAATAGGACAAACTCAACCAGAATTCGAACTCTACCTCCTGCATATCGGATTATCTTAGAAACCAATTTTCATCACTAGTAAAAGCACACAATCAAGAAAAAAAGTCGATTTTTTTTAGAAAGAGCAAGTAAACTGAATCAGGCGTGAAAGACTTTGATCAACATTCAAATCTGTTATATAGGAATAAAGTGTCGCTGCCGACACTTGAGTTTGAACATAGATCGCTAGTGAGCAAACACAGGCGATCCCATTATTGAATTAAGTAGACCACATGACCATAGAGGAAACGCATATATGTAGGAAGTAGCTGACGACTAACGATCATTATTTCTATTCTATCCTCTATTACTATTTGGATCGCCGTTTCTAGTCTATCCTCTGTTACTATACGGATCGCTATTTCTAGTCTATCCTCTGTTACTATACGGACAGCTATTCTCTACTCTATTCACTATACTATTTCTCTGTTCAGATCCCTCTACGGTGATTACCATTCGAGCGAGTATTATCGAGCAAGTGCTATTAGTGCGAGTGATATTCGAAGACTTCTGACACCAGTATTGTTCAACGGTGTACTACAGTTGTATCTGCGATTGCAAAGTCTCTACTACAACGAGCATTACGGAAGTGACAACGAATATTCCTAACCCTAACCCTCTTGAACCAGGGCAGCATTACCTTCTCAAGGTACTTGATGTAGGCCTTCGTGTTGTGTCTGAGGTCCTATAGGAAGATGAATGGAGGCATAATGTCGCTATCACTGGTGATCACTCCAAACACCATGATGTTCAATGGATATAGTATCCAACTCCTTCCGAATACTGTGCACTGTCCTCAGATTGACACTGAAATGTTTGTATTGGAGTTTCCGGCGCGAATGCCAAGCAGTAGAAAATACCGTTTTCCAAATTTCTGGCAGAGTAAATTGCATCATGGTGCTCTTTTTCTCACAGATGGTGCCCAACTGACCCTACTAAACAAACAATGCACATGCACAAAATTAAATATATAAAATGGCGACAATTTACCCATCACAACCTCTCTCTCTCTCTCTCTCTCTCTCTATATATATATATATATATATATATATATATATATATATATATATATATATATAGATATAAACTATAACTATCGTTTCGAAAAAACTTGAATTTTTGATTTGCCAATAATCAAATCCATCTCGAGGGAAAAAAAGGTTTTAAAAAAGAAAGAGCTAGAAACATGAAAGTCTGTCGAAAAAAATCGCACAGATACAGGTTTGAAACCCAAAGAAAAAACCCGATACGAGTAAACAACTAACAAAAGAGCTCAATACAACCGTAGAGTAAATTAGATAAACCTAGTGAGCCAGACAAACCTACCCAGGTTTCACCTAAGCGGATCGTCACGGAAAGCCGGCTTTCCCTGACGATAGGTTTAGGTGAAACCTGGGTAGGTTTGTCTGGCTCACTAGGTTTATTTATTTATTTATCTATCTATCTTTCTATATATATATATATATATATATATATATATATATATATATATATATATATATATATATATATTATGAAATGGACAAAGTCCGACAATTATTTTAAGACATTTATACATTCTTTTTATAGATAAAAATATAATAATTAACAGTATTAAACAACATTTACCAGCCTAAATGTCCGAGAAATTTTCACAAGCCGGTAAATGTTGTTTAATAGTGTTTATTATAAAACAGAGAACTTACTTAAATATATATATATATACGGACAAGAAAATTAAGTTTTTTTTTAATGTTCTTACGGTTTTTCTTTTGGTGGTTTCTAAGAGAATGCAGAAAGTGTCCATAATAATTACACTGAGTAATAAAATTCTGTCTTTTGTGTCTTTGGTAAGTAAGTAATATTTCCTAATTGTTTCTGTCTATAAAGCAAAGGAAATAAATATTATTCACTTTAGACATTGCTTTTCTGATCTGGATGCTTTGAAACTAAGCGTTTCCAGTATTTTCCACACAGATACAGCGCTAAGTTGTTGAAGGGGAATTTTCTAGAACTTTCTAGAAGTTTTAAGAACTTTCTAGAAGTTTTTAAACGTTTCGAGAATTTTTAGAACATTCTGGTAACCTGGATGTTATATATTTTTGCCCACCTCCAAAGATTGTTTGGCCATGGTAATGAATTGTGTGACCAGAGTAGAATGTAAAGGACTGAAGAAAACCAGAATCACTCTTTTTGAAATACCGATGTTTCATCACAGGGAAGCAAGGCAATGATTTTTTTTGCCAGCAATATGGCGAAATTTTGGAAGTGATCCTGGATAGGAAAATGGAGGAATAGCGATTTATGACAGATCGAAAAGCGCTCAATGTAATCCTTAATGTTGTGCTGCTAAATGGACGTAAACTCTCAAGTTATAGTTTTGGGCGGATGTTTCTTTATCGAATGTTGGAAATCTAGGAGAACATAGTACAGTACAAATTACGTGTTTGCTTCAAACTTCTCCAGTACAAGAGAAGATAGCAGACAATAACGGGGTAATGGAAATTTATTAAAAAAAAAAAAAAAAAAAAGAAAAAATTACATAGGATGACACACAAATCTTTGGTGTGTGCCAGACGTGACATTTTTAGGAATGGAATCCTATGCGGATACTCTGAGCGTATGACGTCATTACCGTGCGCTATAGAAGATTGTAGTCACCTGAAATTATTTGTCCTCTTTTGGGTTTCCGGTGTCTAGGCTACGTTCATCCCTTACGTGTGAAAGTCCTGTTCGTTTCCTCGTCTTAATCCCGGCTCATTTCATGTTTGTTTCAGGTACTGATAACCTTTCCGTCCGTCCTGACCTGTAAGAGACCCCCATTCACTACAGATACCCAACGAATAAGGGAAAAAATCGTCATTTACCTCACAGACAGTTACTATTAAGTTTGTACCTTCTCTCCTGATACTCCATTCTGTTGTGCTTGTGTCAGACTACAGAAAGATAGGCAAATAATACGAATGAGCCGGTAAAACGTGTAGGTTGAAATTATAATTTATTTCCTTTTTAAAAAGTAGTTTTTCCCATTTGATAACAAAACCTCACCCCTTTTATTGCACCAAATCGGAAAATAAGACAATGACCCTTTTCTAAAAATAAAAGCCTTTCGCCAAAAAAGTCCTCAAGAAGAGGAAGAATACAGCTGTGTTTGAAATAATGTCTAGTACTCTTTGCGCCATCCTTTTCCGTTTAGATAAAACATTTGTTCTTTAGGAGTTAATTTTAGTCTATTTCTCTCGTCTCTTCTCAGAGGATGTAAGAAATTAAGTTCTCGACTGGTCATCTTTCCGCATCTTGTGTAAAAAACAAAAAAAACAGTTTGAATAAGAAAATATTCATCAAATTAAAACTTACAGTCCACCAGACTGACAAATCATAGATGGAGAATTGTGGTTTCACCATGTAGAGTAATTCTATGAGCACCAATCAGACTTTTCTGGTAAA